ACCTGTCTCTTTTCTCAAAGAATAAAGAGAGATTTATGAAAAGGACACCTAGATCTTAGTTTGATCGCATATTAAATTAAGCGACAAAGTACTCTTCAAGATAAGAAACCAAACCATATTATTAAATAATTAATTAAATTGCAATAGTTTATTTATTTTTGGGAAAACTCACATTTTAGGGTTCGTTTGATTACCAAAAATTGACCTATAGTGTTGTGACTAATTCGAGTGATTAGTTCATATAAACTTTCCATTAGTGGAAAAATATTATGAAGCCTTTAGGAACGTTACATTTTATTAAAAGACAAAATACTTTTAAGATAAGAAGCCAAAAACATATTATTAAAAATATTGCACTAAGTTATCAAATTTTCCTCATTAGGGGTTCAAAATTTACCAAAATTGACTTATTAAAACATAATCAAATGAATCTTAGTGCAGGAACTTATTCGAGTAATTTGTTGATATAAACTTACATTAACTGGAAAATTTTAATTAAAAAAAACTTTCGGAACGTAATATTATTACCTCCTTTTAAGACAACGTCGTGGTAATGAAATTATAACAAAAATAAAGAGCTAAAAGAGTTTTAATTAATATTAATAAAAACGTATTAACGATAGTAATACCAGTGCTTACTCTCTATGATCTAAAAGCTAAAACAAAGCTTAAGCTTCCATTATTACTCTTTCCCTGCAAAACGACAAGATGTTTCCTTCTTCACGACGAAGACGACGAGGCGTTTACGTTTCCGCCACCGTCACCTCCGCCACTATCACTCTCAAACCTCCCACCACCACCACCACCACCACCACCGTCATCGTTAGCTAAACCGCTTCCACCGCGAACTCCATCATCGTTATTATTCTCGCCGCCGATACCGTTAACGGCGGTGGCACCTCCGCCGGAGAATTTGAACGAGTTTTTGTTATTATGCATCCAAACTTTAAGAACACCTTTATCAACTCCGATCTCACGGCAAAAATCACGAACCTCGTCTTCGTCGCGTTTCTGAATCTTCCAACCGATACGATCGGCGAATTCATGCATCTTCTCTTTCTGATTTGAGCTAAACTTTGTCCTGAAACGCTTCCGTGAGCCAGGCGCGGCGGAGAGATTGTTAGCAGCGGCGGCGAAGTTTAGATCTGAGAACGGTGTCGTTTTATTGTTACCAGAGAGAGCTAAAAGCATGTAGGAGGAGGAGATAGGTGGCGGAGAAGATGAATTAGGACTACGAGGAAGCGGAGGAGCTAGCGGAGGAGGAGGGTGGTGACGGTGATGAGGTTGATACTCAATTGCGGCGGTTGTGGTTGAAGATGGAAGAAGAGACGGTGGTGGAACGGAGGAGGAATCGTCAGGCTCACGGCGGTGGAAGTTACGGTGACAACCACAAGCTGCACACTTGAGAGAAGTTGGATCGGAAGGTGTTGAAGAAGGAGACGGCATGAATTCGCCGCAACCGTCAAGCGCGTGACCACCAATCGCCGCCGCGTGGTTCTTGAGACATTCTTTGTAAGTGACGTTGTTGTGGTGGTGGTGGTGGTGGTGGCGTTTGATGATTCCGTTACTGAAAGAGATTGGTTTAGCTGGTTGGATCCGGGTCGGAGTTTCGGATTCGGGTTCTGGTGATTTAGGAGTCATATCCATTGATCTAACTTCAAGCATCTCTATGACTTATGTTTTTTATTTTCTTGAAAAAAATCAAGAAAATATTAGGGTTTATGTTAAGCTTAACAAGAAAAAAGAAATTGGTATTGAGAAACGAAGAAGAAGATGGATAAAAAGAGATTAATCAACTTTTGGAGATCATATTTTTTTATAATAAGTTTTAAGAAAATAAACTTTAGAGGAAGAAGATGTGTTATAAGATGATAGTGAATCTGGTCGATGAATGTTGCTAAGAGAGAATAAAATAATTTAATAGGGAGAGATATAAAAATATTAATAAATGTGAATAATAAATATATTAAAAATAAAAGGACAGAGCTTGAAGATGTTTAACAGAGAAAGGTAGGGTTTGATGATTTAACTATGGTTAAATGTATGGTTAAAAGTGGGACCTATAATAGGGAGTGGGAAAATATATATAGAGTAATAAATGTCTTAAACCTAAAGACAGTCCAATTACAATTAATATTCTCATGCATTGTGACACTTCTTGTTTTTGGTTTTTGTAACTTCTCCTTTTTTTTTAATGATTATTTGTTCTTTCTGTTAAATATTTTTAGCATTTATTTACATTTGGATTGAATAATATACAATGTAATTTATTAAACTATGTTTGGAAAGTTTTAATTTTAATTTTAAAATTTGTACTATATATATATATATATATATATATTTTTTTTTTTTCTTTTGAAATATAATTCAAAGAAATAAATGAATTACAATAAGAGTATAATGAATGTAGTGCTTTTTATTAACATATTTAAAAAAAAAAATCGAATAAATCACTTAAGAGTAGAATTGATGGAGGATTTAATGCAATAAAGAACTTTTAATTTTTTCTCATTTAATTTGGCTAAGTTTTTATTTAAAACATTTGTTATGTTCCACACATAGTATTTGCTAACAATAAATCGAATCCACAACTAATATAAATTTTCCTTTTGCGTTTGGTTAGCGGCACATAACCGCTTATCAACGGATGACCGAATGATACATTGGAACAGAGAACTTTTTATAGGATGTGAATCACGTGACTATCTTTTTTTCTCCTACAATTTCGCCTCTGGAGTATGGCAAGCTTTGGCAAAGAACATTTACCGATCAAGGTATTCCACGAACTAGCACGATTTGATTGTATCCACTTCTGGTCAGTGGCAGAACCGAACAAGGAGTTTCATTGCTCGCTATGTTTCAAGCAACGATACATGCCATTTGGCTGGAACGAAACGAAAAAAAGATATGGTGAAAACCCGAACCCACCAGCTCGACTAATCAAATGTATTGATAAGCAAGTAAAAAATTAACTTTCCTCAATCAAAGCAAGCATAGACAGAAGATACGATACGGGTCTCTAAATCTGGTTTACGGCAAGAAACTGATTTTATAAACAAAATCTCTTGAAGTTATGTATTAAGATTTCTCAAACAAACGTTGCACTCGATGTACAAACGATATTTTTCTTTGAATTTAATTTAATATTATATTCAAAAAAAAATTCACAATGTGCAGATTTCAAGTATACATTTCGATGTTCTTAGGTCAAAGTTTAAACTAGGTTTCGGAGCTTGTATGAAACATCATATATGTTTTTTTTATTTAAGATATCCAAATAGTGTACGATGATTAAAATCGTAGTACAAATCCTTTAACTAGAACCATGAATTAGTTAAATATAGACACATTAACTAAGGTAATTTTGAAAGTGTTTGAATTGTGGAAAATCTTATGTATGCATGTTCAAGTTGGATTATGAAATCACAAATTATTCCTAACGAATGATTGCATCATTGGATTGAGAAATCCAACCTATCGTTAATCAAAAGCGAAACATTTTTTTTTTGTCCAAAACAAAAGCGAAACATATGATCCTTCTTTAACGTTTAATTTTATTAATTCTCAATCTGGTTCGCACACCGTCCATCAAACTTCAGTTAAGTGGTGTACGTGAGATATTATACCACATATTATGTCCGATAATAACAATCTTTGTCTTCTTCTTTTTTTGTCACAAGTAAACTAACTAATTAAGCAACTATGTATGCATTTATGTGCATTTTGAATTTCGTACTACAAAAATATTTCGGTACGTAAATTAGATATATTCGGTGCATACACTACAAGAATATGACGCATTTATAGCATAAGAATATAGCAATTAAGGCTGTTTTGCTATGATTAACAAACACCGTAATATGTTATAGCGTTTGGTAAATTTAAAACGCTATAATTTATTACTCGGAGAAATAAAAGGACGCGGGTCAATGTTTTTTGAATTAGGTTTGATATTTGATAGCACTTTTTTTGATTAAACGCTATTGAATCTATTAGCGGTAAACGATTAAAATGCCCGCCTGTTGGGAAAAAAATTTTGTGGGAAAAAATTTGCCTAAGGCACAATTAGACTCTTCACTGTTTAGACTCTTCACCTAAATTTCTTCATCTCTCTCGATTCGACACTCTCTCGATTCTTCATCTCTATCGATTCTTCATCTCGATTCTTCATCTCTCTCTGTAAATCTCTCTCTGTTCTCGACTCTCCATCTCTCTGTTACGTACTCGACTCTCCATCTCCATCTCTCTGTTACTCGACTCTCCATCTCCATCTCTCTGTTACTCGACTCTCCGCCTTCTTTTCTCAGTTAATCGAGTCTCCATCTCTCTTCTCACTCGATTCTCCATCTCTCAGTCACAGATCTGGTCGTACATTGTAAAGGTTAGGGTTTTGAAAATCGATTTGGGGTTTTGTTTGTGAAATTATCATATTTGAGCTTCAATTTGGGATTGTAATCGATTTAGGGTTTTGTTTTAAGGTACTCAGAGTTGCAGAAGCTTTCAATAGCCGTTTCTAGAAGCTTTCGGTGAATCAACAGGTATGTAATTGAAGGTATTTCGATGTTTTGCATGTTATTTGTTTTGATTTGTTTGTAATAGCCGTTTCCAGAAACTTGCTTGTGTGTTGGTTTCAATCTTGCATGTTATTTGGTTTGTTAGTGTTTCTCTTTGTCAGTTTCAAACTTGCATGTGTGTTGGTTTCGAATTGAGCAACTGTTTTGAATTGATTTAGTGTTTCTCTTTGTTATTTTCATACTGTTTTGTCAAAACCAAACTTGTTTTCGAAATCAACATCTGTTATAACAAAACTTTGTTAAACTAAACAAAGTATTTTGCTACTTTGTTCTTTGTATATATGCCACTATATTATAAGAAACAAAGTATTTTACTACTTTGTTCTTTGTTATGTATGTGTTTGCTCTTTGTTTCTGAGAAGTTATATATATATATATGGTTGCTCTTTGGTCTAATATATATAATATATCATATATATGGGCTTGGAGCTTGGTGTTGTTGTAAAATGGATAAGTCTTGGGTATGGCTGCCAAGGAATAGCATCGAGTATGAGAAAGGAGCAACTACATTTGTTTATTCATCAGCAAGGAGTTTGGGAGATCCAAAAGAAATGTTCTGTCCATGTAAGGATTGCCGGAATCTGTGTCATCAACCAGTAGAAAGAGTTTTGGAGCATCTAGTTATTAAGGGAATGGATCAGAAATACAAAAGAAATGAATGTTGGAGTAAGCATGGGGATATAAGGACTGATAAATCAGATGCTGAGCCCAGAAGGGAGTTTGAAGCTTTTGACCTTATTAGAACAGCTTTTTATGATGGAGAAGACCATTCTGATTCTCAGAATCAGAATGGAGATGATAGTCAGGAGGCAGAAACAAAAGAGGAATCTGATTTTAGGAAGAAGCTAAAGGAGGCTGAAACTCCACTATACTTTGGATGTCCCAAGTATACAAAGGTGTCTGCAATCATGGGGCTGTACCGCATCAAAGTGAAGAGTGGGATGTCAGAGAATTACTTTGATCAACTTTTGAGCTTAGTGCATGATATGCTCCCTGGAGAAAATGTGCTTCCAAAATCAACAAATGAGATCAAGAAATTCTTGAAGGTGTTTGGTTTTGGATATGAAACCATTCACGCCTGTAAGAATGATTGCATTCTATACAGAAAGGAGTATGAGCTCAAAGATAGCTGTCCAAGATGCAGTGCTTCAAGATGGGAAAGGGATAAGCACACGGGTGAAGAGAAGAAGGGAATTCCAGCTAAGGTACTTAGGTACTTTCCAATCAAAGATAGATTCAGGCGAATGTTTAGATCCAAGAAAATGGCTGAGGATTTAAGGTGGCATTTTAATAATGCAAGTGAAGATGGTACAATGAGACATCCAGTAGACTCACTTGCTTGGGCTCAAGTGAATAATAAATGGCCAGAGTTTGCTGCTGAACCAAGAAACCTTAGATTAGGTCTTTCAACTGATGGGATGAACCCATTCTCTATTCAGAATACTAAGTATAGTACCTGGCCTGTTTTGCTAGTTAACTACAACATGGCTCCAACAATGTGTATGAAGGCAGAGAATATTATGCTAACACTGTTGATACCTGGACCTACTGCACCAAGCAATAACATTGATGTATATCTAGCACCATTGATAGATGACTTAAAGGATCTGTGGAGTGAAGGTATTCAGGTGTATGACTCCTTCTTAAAGGAAAATTTCACTCTTAAAGCTATGTTGTTGTGGAGTATCAGTGACTATCCAGCCTTAGGGACCTTAGCTGGTTGTAAAGTGAAAGGAAAACAAGCTTGTAATGTCTGTGGGAAGGATACACCATTTAAGTGGTTGAAGTTTAGTAGAAAACATGTGTATTTGAGCAATAGGAAGCGACTCAGTCCAGGGCATCATTACAGGCGTAGAAGAGGCTGGTTTGACAACACTATAGAGGAAGGGACACCAAGTAGAATTCAGACAGGAGAAGAAATATTTGAAATACTCAAAGATTTCAGAAATGATTTTGGGAGACCTTTGGAGAGAAAGAGTAAAAGGAAAAGAACAGACTTGGAAGAAGATGATATGGTTTCTCAAGATGAGTATGATGAAGACACTGATCAATGGAGATGGAAGAAACTCTCTATTCTTTTTCAATTACCTTATTGGAAGGTAAATTCACTTAACAGTTTCCTTACCTTTGTTAGCAGTGCCAATTAGTAATGACTTGTTTTTTTTTTGTCTTAGTATTTGCCTGTGCGTCACAACATTGATGTGATGCATGTGGAGAAGAATGTGTCTGATGCCTTAGTGTCAATTTTGATGCAAAATGCCAAATCAAAGGATGGCTTGAAAGCACGCAAAGATTTGGAAGATATGGGGATTCGTAGTAACTTGCATACACAGTTAAGAGGAAAGAGGACATACTTACCTCCTGCTGCTTATTGGTTGTCTAAGGAAGAGAAAAGGAGATTCTGTAGTAGGCTAGCCAGGTTTAGAGGGCCTGATGGATATTGTGCCAATATCTCAAATTGTGTATCTGTTGATCCACCAGTCATTGGTGGATTGAAGTCTCATGACCATCATGTGCTTCTTCAAAACTTGTTACCTGTTGCTTTGAGAGGGTTGCTTCCTAAAGGACCTAGAGTTGCTATAAGTAGATTATGCAACTACTTCAGCAGGTTGTGTCAGCGTGTTATTGACCCTGAGAAGCTAATCACATTGGAGTCTGAATTAGTTGAGACACTGTGTCAGCTTGAAAGATATTTTCCTCCATCTCTGTTTGATATCATGTTTCATCTACCAATACATTTGGCTAGAGAAGCTCGTCTTGGTGGACCAGTACACTTTAGATGGATGTATCCATTTGAAAGGTAGTATCTTACCTTATAGTCTCTGTTAATTTGTAATGACTGTGTATGCTAAATTTGATGACATATTTTCTGTCTTATTGTGTTCTAGGTACATGAAAACTCTAAAGGCTTATGTGAAAAACTTTGCAAGGCCCGAAGCATGTATGGCTGAGGGATACTTAGCTGGAGAGTGTATGGCCTTTTGCTTGGAGTTTCTACAGAATTCCTTATCATTACCAGAAGCAGTCAACCGCAATGAAGATGTTGAGAATAATTCACTGATCCTTGAGGGCAGGACACTGCAGAAAGCTACTCAAGTGACACTTACTAGTAAAGAGAGAGAAATAGCTCATAGATATGTTCTGATGAACATGGCTGTTATGGATCCATACATTAAGTAAGTATAACCCATTTCTGTTATTTTATTATTTGATTTAAATGATCTGTAAAATACTTCTTCTTTGAACTGAATACAGCTTGCATTTAGAGGAACTGCAAGCTACTGATGCCAGATGTATGAGCAATGAAACTCTACTATGGAAGATGCATGCAGATCAGTTCTTAGAGTGGATAAAGGAGAAGGTGAACATATTTGCTTTTAATTTCATAAGTATATATAATACTATTATTAACTGACTTGTTTTTAATGTTTATAGATCCCTACAAACTCAACAGAGCATTCAACGCAACTGAGATGGTTGGCCTTTGGACCAAGACATATTGCCCAGACATACAAGGGGTTTGTCATTAATGGACATAGATTTCATACAGATGACATGAAAAGGAAAACTCAAAACAGTGGAGTCACATATGAAGCATTCTCAATGTGTAGATCCAGTGCCAAGGATACTAGACTACAGGCTGATATAGTTACATACTTTGGAGTAATAAAGGAGATCATTCTGTTGGACTATCATATGTTTCAGGTCCCTATATTCAAGTGTCATTGGGCAAACAAAGGGAATGGAGTAAAAGAAGAAGATGGATTCACTCTTGTGAATCTTCATTTGAACCAATCTGCATTTCTTCAGGATCCATACATTCTGGCAGCCCAAGCAAAACAGGTCTTCTATTCCAGAGAAGATGACTCTTCACCTTGGTATGTAGTAATGAAGGCGCCACCAAGAGGATACCATGAGTTGGAGACAGAAGAGGAGTTTGCTGCAGCAACAATAGTAACCCAGGATAATGTAGAATTAGGGAATGAGTCTGATGATGAGAGTTTCTATGTTAGGAATGACTGTGAAGGTGTCTTAGTAATGGAGTAATAGAAAGATTTGAATGTTTTGATTCTGATTTGTTTCTTGAATATATTTTGCTTGGTAAGTCATATTCTTTGTTATCATTTTGTGGTTTTAGTTGTTTTGATATGTTTGGTGTGTTTCAGGTAAACAGGTATGTCTCCTAAAGTTAAGAAAACCATGCCTCGCCGGAGTAAGCGTAAGCAAGGCATTGAGCTGAGTTCTGAAGTTGGATTACAAGTGCACAGAAGAAGCAAGAAGAATGTTACACAGAAGGTTGACATTGGTGAGGAAGAACATGAAGAGAATCTTGCAGAAAAAGTTCACATTGAGCAGCAGGAGCATGAGAGTGTTGCACAGGAGCATGAGAGTGTTGCAGAGGAGACTGTAGCTGATGTTCTTGGTTCTGACTTGGCTGCAGAGGAGCAGGAAATTGATGAACAAGCTGATGAGGAGGATACACAACCAAATGATGAAGAAGTTCATCAACCTGTACATGAAGACATGGGTCCAGAGGAAGCTGCAGCTGGTGAAGAAGAACAGGTGCATCATTCCACTGAAGAAACTCAAACCCAGCAATCAGTGAGCAAGAAGAGGAAAACAAGAGGACCAACAAGGATGCGTAAAATTGCTAAACAACATGATGAAAAGGTAGATGTTGAATTTACTTCTATTGGTGAACATGTAGGGAATGGATCTGTGTCACTATCATCATTCCTTGGTCCTCTTGTGAGAGAGCATGTACCTGTTCTTCTGGATGATTGGAGGCACCTATCTGATCAGACTAGGGACACATTATGGGAAGAAATACAGGTATATCTGATCCAACTAATTTAACTTATTCTTTTTTCAGTGTTTGTGTATGACATTTTAGCTTTTTTTGTAGGGGAGGTTCAATTTGACAGAAGATTGGCAAAAGGATTGTGTTTTCAAGCAGATGGGTTGTGTTTGGAGGGCTTCTAAGTCTAAGCTAACTACTAAGGTGCGAGCTGTAAAGAGCAAAGCACAATTACTTAAGCTAAAACCAAGCAATATAGAATCAGTGTCAGCTTGGAATGCTTGGGTGAAGAACAGAAACACCAGTGCCTTCAAGGTTCAGTATGATTGTCTTAAAATAGTTATTGACTAATTCAAATATTTGACTAACTCCACTATACTTTTGTAGGAAATAAGTGAGAAGTACAGGAAGTTGAGGCAGGCCCAGATTCCACACACCACCAGTCGCAAAGGGATGAACCGCCTAGCTCATGAGATGGTATATGTCTACTCTCTGTTAAATAAGTTTGGTAATGATGAGAGTTTCACTAATGACTATCTTACTTGATAGAAAAAAAAGAGTTCAAACCCAAAACTGGTGACAAGAAGCAAGGTTTGGGTAGCAGGTCATACACACTCAGATGGGAGACCAGTAAGGCCTGAATTTGCAGAGACTATTGTGAGTTATTAAGTTCACTATCTTTTTTTTTCTATTGAGAGACTTGCTTTATGTTGACATTCTGGTGTTATTAGGAAAAAATTAAATCGATTGACAGTGAAATGGGCTCCTCATCAACAACAAATCTCAAAGAAGATGCTGTTAGTCAAGTTTTAGGAAAAGACAAGCCTGGAAGACTTAGAGGAATGGGCAGAGGGGTTACTGCAACTAAGTTAGCATTCATGTTAGCTAGAGACTCTCATGTGGAGAAGCTAGAAGCTTCACAAGCTGATTTACGAATAAAGCTTGAGGAATTGCAGGATGTACTGACTGGCTTAACTGGGAAAAAGGTAAGTTAAAACTAAACACTTGTGTTCTATGAAGCAAAATTAAATGTTATTGAACAATGTCCATTGATTCTTGTCAGGACCAGTGTGAAGAGGTATCTAAATCAGAGGCTAGTGATCATAGTAAAGGTGTTAGATGCCAGCTTCTTGATTGGTGTTCAGAGGATGATGTTGTTGTAGGAGAAGGGGAATTCTGCTCAGCTGAACAATGGTACAAGATTGGTCGTATTCCACTTGGTCGTCATGCTGCGGCTGTTATTGTGAAGTCAGTGTCTGATGAAACAGCCTCTCTATGGAGACCTACACCATCTGTATTCTTACTTGGTGGAGCTTTGGGGACCAAGATTGCCTGGCCTTTTGATAAGATCATTCTAGACAATGATGCAGACTCTCCTATTGAGAATAAGACTGCAGGATCCTCAGTAAGGTTTTCTTTCCTTTACTTGTCAAATATCAGTATAATATATAAGCTTAATCAATTATTATTTATGAATCATTAGGCTACAGATGGATCTCACACAAAAATCCTCATAATTGATTGGAATTTGGCTGACTCTGTGGTTGCTGAGGGAAGATTGTGTTCAACTGACAAGGACGAAATGGTCAACAATATGCCTCTTGGTCATTCTGCTGGAATTGTTAATGTTGAGAAAGTGTTTAACAAGAACGCATATCTGTGGAGACCAAGTCCGGGAAAGTTTTTGATGAAGGATGTACTACATGAGAACATCGCATGGCCTCTTCAGAGTATACAATTTGTGAATTCCTCACCAAGGAATGAATCAGCAGCAGCAGATAAAAGACCATCTCCTCCACTGGTAAATTTTTTGAACTTTTTACTTTAAGTGAATTGATGAATGATGGATTTAAGTAATTTTTGATTTTTGCTTATTGTAGAGCTTAAGTAACAGCACTGGTAGCACTGGTAGCAAATCAGTCAAGAAGAAATGCATCTTGTTAGATTGCAAAAACTCCAGGGAAAAAGTAGCAGAAGGAAGAGTATGTCCATCTAATCCATCTGACACAGTCCATCATATGCCTCTTGGTGCCAATGCGAGCAAGGTTTGGGTAGAAGTGTCCAAGGTTGGAGATGCAGCTGTGTGGAGACCAAACTCTGAAATTCAAACCATTGCCGATGCAGTAGGTAGTATGGTGGCTTGGCCTAATGATAAAATCATGTTTGTCTAAATTGTTTGAGTACCAACATTGTTATTTTGGTGAATTCAGTACTTGCTAAGGCATGATCATGTAATTTGACATGTTTATCTAATATGAATTTCATTTTGTCGTTTTAAATCTGTTTTATATAATCTTAATTTGTAAATAATTTGATCAAAACAGAATTGAAACTGGAAATGGATGGTCAAATATTGCACCAAAACAAAATGCTATAAATTGAAACAATTGCAGTTTATTAACTGCTATTGTCATTTTATATGTAGCAAAATAAATATGCTGTCAATAGTAGTATTTAATATCGAATATTAACCGCTATTATATTATTAATTATAGCATAAAGAAAAGCGCTGTAATAACTAACTTTATGGTAGCATAACGAAAAACCGCTATAATATGTCTCCGACCTATTATGACGGGCGATGATAGAGCGCTTGTTAAAACGCTACAGTAGCGTTATATAGCGTTATTCGGGCGCTACAGATGCTTCATTTTCCTGTAGTGATAGAATATGTTTAGTTATGGACATGGTGCCTGTATGAGAATGAGATGTATGTTATTGTTGGGGTCTTGGGGACTACTTACGTATTCATTATTGTTTTTTCGTTTTTTTTCTTATAAAGAATTGTTTTTTTCTTTTCCAAAGAGTGATGGAACCACATTTTTCTTAGATCAAGCAGGAATCAGACTATCAGAACAAGATGAAACAATTTTTTTTTTTTAATTCTACTATAGCATCTCTATTCATGGTGCTTTAAATCTTACTCTAAACTCTATATTTGGTCTAGATCTATCTTCTATCTTAAACAAATTATATAGTTAAATTTTATACTTATATAAATTTATTTTAAAAAATTTAGAGCAAAAAATAAAGAAGTTCTTAAGATCTCCTAAGAGCATAACCCCAAATAATTGATTACAATGATTTCACATATGGACAGTTGATCAGTATTGTTCAACAAAAAGATCTTAAGGTTTGCCAAGACGTAAAACTCCAAAAGCATCTTAAAATGGAACTCAAAAGACTAAAACTAGAATTATGTTCATGTTGTAAACAATTCGAAAATAGATCCTAACCGAGTTTTTTTTATTTTTTTATTTTATTTTTATTTTTTTTATTAGCCTAACCGAATTAGTAATTCTTGTATAGGAGATTGCAGTAAATTATACTACTTGAAAAACAAGCCTAGGAAATACTCTCAAAACTATAAAACCCATAAACCTGGCAAAAATTCTGAGGAAACAAACAACAAGTTGATAGCTATACCAACAGCTGCAGAGATAAAAAAAGCATGCTTCTCCATTTATGCTGATAAGGCCCCAGGCCCTGACGGTTTCTCTGCGAACTTCTTTCAAATAAACTGGGACACTGTCAGCAATCAACTCGTCTTGGAAATTCAGGAGTTCTTCTATTCTGGTACTCTACCTGCCAACATCAATTCTACACATGTTAGACTAATTCCCAAAATATCAAGTCCACAGAAAATGGCGGATTACAGACCTATAACTCTCTGCTCAGTATACTACAAAATTATTGCCAAACTGCTTACTAAAAGACTTCAACCAATTATGGCCAGTACTATAGCAGAAAATCAGAGTGCTTTTGTACCTCAAAGAGCTATTGCTGACAATGTCTTGATCACCCATGAGGTTCTTCATTATCTCCATACCTCTGAGGCAAAGAAGAGATGCTTCATGACCGTCAAAACTGACATGAGCAAGGCCTACAACATAATTGAATGGGACTTTGATAAAATGGTTTTAGAACGACTTGGATTCCACCAGATTTGGGTAAACTGGATTATGCAATGCATAATCACAGTGTCATATTCTTACCTTCTCAATGGAGCAGCTCAAGGCAGTGTGACTCCACAAAGAGGTCTTCGCCAAGGAGATCCTCTCTCGCCTTACATATTCATACTCTGCAGTGAGGTATTTTCTGGCCTATGCAACAGAGCTCAAGCAGAGAATAGAATCACTGGCATCAAAGTAGGCAAGAAAAGTCCGCGGCTGAACCATCTCCTATTCGCAGACGACACCATGTTCTTCTGCAAAGCCGACTCTGAAGAATGCACAACTCTAATGAATATCCTGCAAAAGTACGAGTTGGCATCAGGCCAAATGATCAATACCCAAAAGTCAGCAGTAACTTTCTCTACAAAAACACTTCCAGAAGTAAGAATCAGAGTGAAGGAACATTTGGGGATAGAAAAAGAAGGCGGCTTAGGAAAGTATTTGGGACTTCCCGAGCTGTTTGGCAAGAAGAAGAAAGACTTATTTAGCATGATAGTGGACAGGATACGCCAAAGAGCGTGTAGCTGGTCCCCTAAATTCCTCTCTTCAGCAGGAAAAATCATCATGCTAAAATCAGTGCTAGCCGCAATGCCATCTTACACCATGTCGTGCTTCAAGCTCCCTAACTCTCTCTATAAGCGGATCCAATCTGCATTAACAAGGTTTTGGTGGGATGATAGTATGGATAAAAAGAAAATGTGCTGGGTATCTTGGAAGAAACTGACAAGTTCTAAAAGAGAGGGCGGCCTGGGTTTTAGAGACATACAATGCTTCAATGACGCCCTTTTAGCTAAGGTGAGTTGGAGAATCCTCACAAATCCATCTTCCCTCTTAGCAAAAACTCTCCTAAGAAAATACTGCCACTCTCGTGTTCCGTCTAATACATCCCATGGATGGAGGGAAATTTGCATAGGCCGAGAGCTACTAAAATCAAATCTAGGACGAGTAATTGGAGATGGAAGATCAACCCGGATCTGGCAGGACCCTTGGCTATCCCTCAATGTACCCTGCAGACCAATGGGACCAGCCTCAGAATCAAATCAGAACCTCATGGTCGCAAAGCTACTATCCCCTGGCACAATGGATTGGAACAGAGAAAAAATTCAAAAAATCCTCCCAGAATTGGAAGATACCATTCTGGAGATTAAAGTAAGTTCTCTAGGAGCATCAGACTCCTTCGCTTGGTTGCCATCAAAGGATGGATTGTACTATGCGAAGTCTGGATATTATGAAAGCTTTAAAAGAGAAGCGGTAACAGAAGCTCTGCAACAACAAGAGGAAACCAAGGACTTTAAATGGACATCAGAGATCTGGAATATCAAAAGTTCTCCAAAAACAAAAATTATTTCTATGGAAGGTAATGAGGGGAGCACTACCTTTGGGAATTAATGTACGAAAAATGAATATCAACTTGGAAGCAGTTTGTCCTTTTTGTGGAGAGGAAGAAGACGCCCTGCATCTGTTTTTCAAATGCAGATTTGCACAAGAACTCTGGGAACAAGCACCTTTCAAGACCTCCTTTGATTGTCAACATCTGGTGTCTTTTAGAGCTCGATTGGAAGCATCAAAGCTGCTTACTTGCCTTCCCCCTACATGATTGCATGGAGGACCCCTGTTTCCATGGATTGTGTGGTCAATTTGGATTTCCCGAAACTAGAAGATCTTCAAAGATAGAACCTTTTTGCCCATGGAATCGCTGAGTCGGGCCATCTCACTTGCTTGGGAATGGCAATCAGCACAAGCCTCTCTGGTTGCTACAACAAAGAATTTAACAAAGAAAGGCTCGGGACGAGAAGTGGATGAAGATACCGTCGTTTGCTTCACGGATGCGACTTGGATCGCGACTTCGAAAGCCGCTGGATTTGGAGGGATCTACTCAAACCATGCGGCGGGACCACAACGTGAAGGAACAGCAACCAGCTTTCATATCAGATCAGCCCTTATGGCGGAGACAATAGCCATTTTTCTAGCTCTCCAGCAAGCTCTCGCCCTGGGAATATCAAAAATTTTAATCTCTTCAGATGCTAAACAAGCCATCGAAGCTCTCAAATCGGAGAATCCACCGTTGGAACTCCATGGGATTCATCACGATATCCTTTCTCTATCTCGTAATTTCTGCTTAATTAGCTTTAATTTCTTACCTAGAGAGTAGAATCACTTGGCCGATGCCATTGCTAAGAACTCTCTGAGGAGGCTTGTATCAGAAACTTAATTTAATGGAATCGTTTCTTTGCCAAGAAAATATATATATATATATATATATATATTTTAAAAAATTTAGAACAAAAAATAAAGAAGGTCTTAAGATCTCCTAAGAGCATAACCCCAAATAATGATTTCAATGATTTCACATATGGAGAGTTGAAGACGTAAAACTCCAAAAGCATCTTAAATGGAACTCAAAAGACTAAAACTAGAATTATGTTCAAGTTGTAAACAATTCGAAAATAGATCTAACCGAGTTTTTTTTTTATCCTAACTGAGTTAGTAATTCTTTTATAGGAGATTGCTGTAAATTATACTACTTGAAAAACAAGCCTAGGAAATACTCTCAAAACTATAAAACCCATAAACCTGGCAAAAATTCATGGCAAAAACTTCTTCGCAAGTTTCCTTCAAAAGAAACACCAGCCAACGATCCTTTTTATAATACGTGTTTCAAATGCAAATGAAGAAACACCAGCCAACGATCCTTTTTATAATACGTGTTTCAAATGCAAATGAACAAAACTGATAATAAAAAAGACTTTCTATGTCCTTACAAATGAACAAAAATCCCAACTTGAAATCCTAAATTTCATTTTAGATCCAAACAAAAAATTATATAATCAATCCTTTCTTCACTACAAGAAAACATGTGTTTTGCGAGAGAAGGATTCCTCGTAAATCCCTCGCAAAACGCTTGTAGCAAGGGATTTGCTACGCCACGTCATTCCTCGCAAAACGCGGCTCGCAAATGTAATATCTTGCAATTCCCTCGCAAATTTTGCGAGGAACATATTCCCTCGCATATTTTGCGAGGACCACAATCCCTCGCACAAAGTACGAGTAGCACTTCCCTCGCACATTTTGCTAGGGATTTGCAAGTCTCTTTTTGTTTTTTCATTTACGAATTTTATCCTGAATTATTTTTTTGGTGATTTTAATTTGATTTTCAAAAACATTCAAAAACATTCAAAAACATAAATGAAATTAGTAAACATTAACTCCTAAATGATTCAAAAACATAAGCGTAGATGACAAACCAAATACAAGTCTTAAACCAAATCCAAGTCTTAAAATAAACTTCAAGTCTTAAAACAGAGAGAAATTAAAAAGCTTGTGAAGTAGAGGAGGCTGGTCTGGTACCAGTTCCTGTCTCAGTTCCGCCGGTCTGATCGGTTCCGGTCTGATCGCCTCCGGTCTCGTTGCCCTCCGCAGTTCTTGTGGCGTCTGCATTTGCCGGTTCAGATGGTCCTCAATACATGCCGCAAACACTGGATCCTTCTCTGCGAGGTATTCAAAATAGGCATCGAAGCTATGGATCTTCTCAGCCTGAAGTTGAAGACGAGCTTCAGCAGCAGCAAGCTTCTCCGATAGAATAACCGGATCATTATGAGTAGGCGCTGGACCAGCAGTGACTGAGGATGCTTCATGCTGCAGAGAACCAACTCCATACAACCTTCCTTTTTTCCTTGGAGCAACCTGATACAAACCACACAAGTATAATAAGTTGACTGCCAAGAGACTAAGTACTAATGAAATAATCACACAAGTATAATGCTAACAAGTATGCTGCTAATTAACATCATCACACAAGAATGCTGCCAACATCATCACATAATCACATAATCACACAACACAAGTATAATGAGTGGACTGCCAAAGACTAAGTACTAATTAAAGACACACTGAATTGAAATATACAGAATTACCTGAGCATAAATCTTGTTCTTGGCAGCCACTGATAATCCACCTGAAGCAGAGCTCTCTGTATTATCCCCTGTAAACAGCTGAGACTCCTCCTCTTCAATCCTTGATGACACTTCCTTGTAGATCTCCTCTGACTTTCTATCAATGAAAGTCCCATCAGGTTTGCGATGAGTTTGCTCAAGAACCACCAGAAAATTTGGAGTTGAATCAACAGTCTCCTCACACTAAAACAAAAGAAAAAAGTTAAGTGTCAGTTCAATATGCATAAGTATATGTATGAGAAAGAAAACAGAGTTAACTTACATGCTTTCTGGCACGGGATTTGAAAGAGGTCTGGCCAGAACGGTGTTTAGATATACCAAGGCCATCGGGATCATGATATCGGGCATTTCTACTGTTGATACTCCTAATTTCTGATTTAGGATCACGCCAAAAACGAACAAGTCCAGCCCACACTTGAGGATCAATCAATTTAGGCTTTGCCTCATCACCTTTATTCTTCCACTTTCCCTTCCACCGAGAAACTTGATCAGACATCCTATCCTTCAACTTGTCCTCAAACTCATCTCTAACTCTCTCATTTATGAACTTGTCCCAGTTGTACATTTGCTTCAAAATAAAAACAGAGTCAGAAATAGCATCACATACATTTGTAGAGTAAAACAAAGCTAAACTAAACAATTTCACTTACCGCAAAACTCTCATACCAAAGATTGACCACTGCATTAGGAGTCTGTGTCCAATTGGCATGAGGTTCCTTGAAAACTCTTTCAAAAATCTTGCGGTCATAAGCTGCAACTGAACCATCAATGTCAAACCTACAACAAAAAAATCAATTACAATACAATGAATCATATATACAAACCTAAGTAGAACCAAAATCTTCCTTACCAAAGAGTTCCCGGAGGACGATTTGGATCTAGTCTCTGAAGAGACTGACGCCCCGGACTGTCAAGGAGCTCCTCCAATGTCAGATCGTTGAGACGCCCAGTTGGTGGATGAGTAGCTGAATGAGATGGATTAGGCGAGTTTGGATTGGATGGTGGAAGAGACAGACCGGCTTGTTGGTTTTGACTAGCTGGTGAGGGTGGATTACAGTTTCTAGATGCATTCCCTTGAGATCTGGAAGCACGAGGAGCATTCCCTTGAGATCTGGAAGCACGAGGAGCAGGTGCATTCCCTTGAGATAGAAACCTACTGTAGTCCTTTCTAGAGAAAGACATCTACGAGAAAAGAAAGAAAATATTAATAACAGAGAAAGAAACCCTAAAATCGAATTGAGAAACCCTAAAATCAAAATAGAAATTGAGAAATTCTAAAATTGAGAAACCCTAAAATCGAAACCCTAAATTGAATCGAAACCTAAAATCGAATCGAAACCCTAATTAAAATCAAAACCCTAAAATAGAATTGAATCCCTAATTAAAATCAAAACCCTAAAATCGAAACCCTAAAATGAATCAAAACCTAAAATCGAATCGAAACCCTAATTAAAATCGAAACCCTAAAATCGAATCAAATCCCTAATTAAAATCGAAATTAAACGCAGAAGAAGACGAGAGATTAAAACCCTACAACATTACCTTTGTAGATTCACGAAGATGAGAGACTAAACGAAGAAGACGAGATTAAATGCAGAAGAAGAGAGAATCAGATAACAGGAGAGGTTAATCGAAGAAGAAAAGCGGTTAATCGGAGAAGAAGAGAGAATCGGAGAACATGAGAGGTTAATCGGAGAACAAGAGAGAATCGGAGAACACGAGAGAAATTAGGGTTTTCGGTGTAAGCGGCTGGGTTTGAGCGAAGCTAAAACTAGGTCATCCGTATATATAGATATTTGACACGTCGCAAATCTCTCGCAATATTTGCTAGGATTTTGCGAGGAACCGCCAAAACAACCAATCAAAACGAGGCATATATTGCGAGGGAATTGCGAGGTTACAAATCATGTCTTATTAATTTTCTGATTCATGTCTTATTCATTTACTAAACACAACGACATTACTAATCATGTCTTATTAATATTATTAAACACAAAGACATTACTAATCATGTCTTATTAATATTATTAATTTACTAAACACAAAGACATTACAAATCATGTCTTATTAATATTATGAATAATGTCTTATTCATATTCCTATTTCTAGAAAGTCTCTCAGAAAAAAAAAACATGACTACATATTTTACATATTTTAGGGTTTAGGGTAAAACTTTGCGAGGAAAGTGCTACGAATGCCTTGCTAATCCCTCGCAAATTCTTTATTTTAGGGTTTAGGGTAAAGATTTGCGAGGTGTGTGCGGGTGATTTGCGAGGGAATTACCAGAATCCCCTGCAAACCTCTCGCAAAACCCTCGCAAAATATAGACCAATTTGAAAAAAAACAACAAAAAATTATTAAGATTTATTTTTTTGAAACATTAGGAAGTTAATTATCTACATTAGAATCTACTTTCTCATCATATACTTTGAATTCGTCCGAATGTGCATTTTCTTTCAAATATATCAATGATCATCTTATGTTTTTCTATAATATGAATCAATGTCTATAACATTTTCAAAAGAAAATGATAACATTGAAACCTATCCAACATTTTTTTATGCATCACCATATATTCAACTTATCTGATTATATGGTCTCTTAGATTCACATTTATAAATGAAAATCATAGATCGCAAAACAGTTTAACGTATTTTAGGGTTTAGGGTAAAGATTTACGTGGTATGTGCGGGTGATTTGCGACGGAGTAAATATTTCCCGCAAAGTACTCGTAAATCCCTCGCAAATTTGCGAGGAAGCTTTCCCTCGCAATATTTGCGACGGAATTGCGACGCGCGTCCTTTTCGTAGCAAATTACTTGCAATACCCTCACAATTTTGCGAGGGATGACTTCCCTCGCAAAGCGACTGTTTTCTTGTAGTAAGAAATATTCGCCAGATAGTAAGAAATATTTTTAAAACTGAATATATTAAAAGAGATTCAAACTCTGTTCCAGATTTCTTGACACGTGAATTCATCCAAAATAGGTAGTATACATCCAAAAAGGTTGATAAAGGCAAAGGAATATCATGACAACAATCTCAGAAAAACACACACACACAAACACAACTCCACAATCAAAAACATAACCCTCGATATTAGTTACAAAAAAGAGTGTAAGAAAAATAAGAATTATCAAATCCTGGTACTAAAAAAGCTTTGGAGCTAAGTTTTCTACAACAAGGACAAGGATATTCGTCTAAAGAAAGCCTTTCGTCAAGCTTTTAAAAAACATTTGAGGTCCCTTCAAATATGATTTAAAGAGAAAACCAGATCTCTAAAAAAATTTGAAACCTTCTAATAATTCGCAAATTATTTTGAAGTATCCACAAAACTCTCCCTCAAAGAATATTTAAAAATATGTCCTTTTTAAAAAATGCCTTCTTTAAATATCTATTTTCAAAGTACCCCTCGTTAATCCAAAAATTTTATAAAGTTTTATAATGTAATTCTGGATGGTAACTACTATTTGGAGACTCGATCCAAGTATTATAAGGTATTTTAGAAGGTTTTAAAAGGTATTTTAAAAGGTATTTATAAGGTTTTACAAGATACTTTTAAGGTATTTATTCGGTATTTATAAAGTATTTATAAGATTTTACAGATATATAAAGGTAAGTTATGTATACTTTGATAAGGTTTCACACATATTTGGGTAAATCACAGAATTCTGGAGGCTTTTTGATAAGATTTTATAAATAGACATTTTTGAAAAGTGGTACTGAAAAAGAATCATATTTGAAATTCAAGGATTTTTGGTAAAAGATGCTTTGTTGCCTCAAAACTGATTTGGAGAATAATATCACACGGAAACTCTTTATGGGTTTACATATATCTTCTGAACCATGAATCGTTTTGGTTAGTGAAACAGAACACAAGTACGGGCTCGTGAATTTGGAGAAAAATCTTAAAAGTATAGACCAAAACCTAGATCCGCGAAAGCCGGTTGGGATCCGAAGATCCACCGCTAATTGCTAAAAGGACAGCAAACCCACATTTCTGACAAACGACTTCCGCCGCGACCAATCAACAACCATGGCAAGAGAGCCGAGGGAATCTCCAACAGATCTCGTAGTCCTCAACCGGAGAAACAAAAACAGAGATTCCCGACCAACGAAGAAGCTTCATTGCCGCATCTCAAGTCGGAACCCCACAACTGTGCTGACGGGTGTGAAAGAACACTTACTCTTGTTGCCGTTGCGCCATAAACACAGACCTTGAAGATCCAGGCGAAAAAGAAGAAGAAAGATTTTAGATCTAAGAAATTTTCTAGAGAGAGAATTGAACAGTAATCGAGGAACGATTGTCCTTTTTCATATCCTAAATCTTACAATGTTATTTTTTGTAAATAGTATCTTAAATAGCGATGTAATACTAAGAAGGAGAATTTGGGTGTATAAGTATAAGCCTTGTTAAAACAATCGCTAGGCGTTAGTCGGGCGCTCGAGCCGGACCTAGCGATTAATCGGTTAATCAGAAATTACACGAAAATTAATCGTGGATTAGTTTTAGGGCATTTATCTAAATGTGTGTATAGATATAAATTATTTGTTTATAAATTGTAGAAAGTCGGTTTGGTGTAGTGGTTACAGTAGATTTTTTGCATTTTTTTCCCGAGTTCGAGTCCCCATAGATCATTTTGATTCCTTTTTGACTTATCCTTTAGTGAAGGGTAAAACAAACATTAGACAATCATTTTCCTCACAAAGCTTGACGAGTTTCTAACCCTAATAATGGCGGCTGCTCGTTTTACATACATTAAACATCATTTTTAACTTGTTTTTGTTCTTGTTTCTGCACAAAATATGATAGATCTTAGATTTATCATAAAATCTTTAACCATAACTACAAAAAATTGATTTTTTCCGATTAACTACCTGATTTGGACAAATCTCGGCGGCCACTATCCGCCGAACGCTTAATCACCGTTTAGGCGGCCGCGGGGGCCGCGTTTTCGAACGGGGTGTATAACCATCAAAAAATTAATATTTCAACAACTAACCATAAGAAAAATAAGCGGTGATATTTGGCATATATTATGTAACATATACACATTTACCTTTGTTGTTACATGTGCCTAAAACATTTCGTCTTTAACATCAAAATATCGTCTTTTAGTTTTAGGCACATTTAACCTCAAAATATCGTCTGTCAAAATAGCACAGTTCCCTACTTCTCCTGACCTCCCTTCTTCACTTTATATCGATTAGGTTTCCAAATCATCTAAATAGCATGAATGTACTATACTACGTTCTCGTTATGAAATTAGCTATGTAATCAATAGAAGTTTATATTGATTTTAATTAATTGGTTTCTTGGATTTGTTCTTACAACTAAAAATTTTAACGCTAAACAGATATGTAACTAAGATGATCACGAACTATACTGTTTAAGTTGATACTATACTATTATTTTTGATTAATTACTAATTACAAAATTGCATGTTTTTGTCATTGTTATGTATGAATATTCGATTTGATTATAAGAAATTATAAATTATGTCAAGAATATTTTATTATATTTTAATTATCTATAAACAAGTTTACAAGAAAATTCCGTCGCTCTATAAATAATTCTATTTTTTTAGTTTTACCGATCGATAATTTATGTCGATTTTACATATTATATTATTTATGATATAGGTTTGCTTTTTTGACGTACATTTAATTTGACCGCTTGGATTTCCTATATTGTATTTTTAGGGTATATCGTTATTCTTTTGGCTTGCATTTAACTCAAAAATTTGAATCTTATTTATTGTATCATTGAGAGTAAATTGTTGCTTATTGAATTGCGTTTAAATTATCTTTTGGGTTCCCTATATAGTATCTCTTAGGGTATAGTTTTTTTTTGACGTGTATTTAACACATATTTCTCAAAAAGTTGACATACTTATTTTTAGAGATATATTGTAAAAAAAGAAATTTTGAAATTTGAGTTTATTAGAAGTTGAAATTTTTTTCTTTCAATGGTTATATTTTATTTTTAAATTTTTTTTTGATTTTTTTTATAGAATGTTTTATGTTCTATACTATTTTTCTTGTGGATTTTGCATAAAACGAAACTTTTGATTTATAACCACTTTTTTATATTGTAAAACATTAATATCCATTTAAAAATAATTCAAAACACGGTACATTGAGAATTTTTTATATTTCTTTAAATATAATATGCAGTTTGTCTCAATTTGTTTCTATAAAATTATAGCAAAACAAAACTGAAAGAGAAGAAACATCCTACGTGGCTCCTCCTACTCTTTCTCCTAGCACATTTTCACACCAAATGAGGGCATTTTCGTCATAACCAAAAGGAAATGGTTATTTGTTTTGTTTCTCACTTAAACATGCTATATTTTTAATTTCTTTTGTCATTTTAGTTTTTTTTTTTTTTGTGGTCTGTTTTTATTAATATCACAAAGAAGGATACATTGTTGAAATACATAAGCCGGCGGAAACACTAGAAATCCCCGGAAACTTAAAGCCCAAAAGAGGGAAGCGAAAGCCCAAAAGAGGGAACCAGTTGAACACGTGGAGAATACAATCCACAAAAACGAAACAAAAGTCAAAAACTTAAACAAAAGCTCGAAAGAAAACGAAATTGCCAATCTTACTCCCACACCAATGTGAACAAAGCCAGCCACAAAGGACAACACGCGTCCATCTTGCAGTTAACGAAACCTCCTATTGCGTAGCCAAGGTACCTCTCAAATCAATTGAACCTAGACTTCTATTCCGACAAGAAAGACGCGAGACAAAGAGACCAAATCCCACAAATCTTTCGAAAGCGGCGTTTGTCGCAAACCACGACCTTTAATCGCCTCGTTAGAAGACATGAACTGACCAGACCTCGATCAGGTCTTGAGTGTAGAGACAAGGAGCGAAACAAACCTCTAACCGGCAAACACTAAACTCAGAAGGAGAAAAGCATACTATCGAACCGGAGAGATCACAATAAAGCTCATCAAAGGACAAAAGCAAGCTCAGCAAGACACGAAAACAAGAGAGCTCTAGCAAGCTCAGACCAAGGCTTCGGGCAGCAAGAGAGGAAGTAGAACTAGGTAGCCATACCAAAATCCCGGATTATCCGTAGAATCAGAGCCTAAACTAACCTACACAACCCCTTAAGCTACCTAAACTAACGATTATACAACCTTAAAACCACAAGCAAGAGACCAGAGGCAACGATTAAGCCATCAACACAAACTACAAAGACTACACCAAGCGCAACCATGGGAGAAACCAACGAAAGGAGGAGCTCACCCTACAAAGCCAAACACACCCACATCCCCAAAAGAACCAGAAAGGCAGAATCTCCAACGACCACCGCATACACAATCGCCACGAGCCAGAATCAACAACATCCGGCCACAGTAGCCACAGCCAACCTTTTAAACTCTGGAGAAACCGTAGATCCTTGCAAAACCCGACGTCACAGCCACCAAAGAACCAACTGCGACATCTCCGCCACTCCAATCGACAAAGCTTCACCACGGAGGATACCGGCGTAGAGTGACAACAAAGCAGAAAAACAACAAAAACAACAACAACAACTAGAGCCCTCTCACAGTGTCGGCGAGAAGTACCGACCACCGGAGAGGCAAGACTGAAAATTGATTTTTCTTCAACGGCGGCTAAACCTAATTTAGAGAGAAAGGGGATTTTTTTTTTTGTCATTTTAGTTATACAGCTAATTTACTCTACTGATAACTCAGCATATTAAAAATATACAGGTTAATATACTCTCCTAGAGGAGATCTTTGATCCAGAAGATATCGCCATCATAAGTGCTCTACCTGTGGGTGCGCCAACTAAGGAGGATACATTGGGTTGGCATTTTACAAAATCCGGAAAATATACAGTCAAATCGGGATATCATACCGCACGGTTAAGAAATTTGGAGACAAATTTCTCATTGATTGGTCCAGACATCAAACCGTTAAAAGCACATTCTTGGCAAGTGCATTGTCCACCTAAGATACGTCATTTCTTATGGCAAATTTTAACGGGTTGTGTACCAGTTACGGAAAATTTACGGAGAAGAGGAATCGATTGTGATACAGGTTGTGCCAGATGTGGCGAACCAGTGGAAACAATCAATCATACACTCTTTCAGTGCCACCCGGCACGACAGGTTTGGGCACTCTCTCAGATTCCTACAGCAATGAGAATTTTTCCAACGGAGTCTATCTTTGCGAATTTGGACCATTTATTTTGGAGAATACCTTCGGACTTTGACTCTTCAGCCTTTCCATGGATTATCTGGTATATATGGAAAGCAAGGAATGAAAAAATATTTGAAAATATTGATAAAGATCCGTTGGAGGTATTACGGTTAGCAGAAAAAGAAGCACAATTGTGGCAGTTTGCCCAAATTGAGCTTTATCATGAAACGCATGGTACTCTGGAATTGGTAAATCGGTCTCGAGTGGGGAATACTTCACTTGACTCGAATTATTCAGGATACCGTTCCTTTGTGGATGGATCGTGGAAAGAAAGTGATAAGTTCTCCGGTACATGATGGTTTTGTACATCATCAAACGGAGAGCCGCCAACCATGGGAGCTGCAAATCTCCGTCGAAGTTTATCTCCATTACATACCGAGTTTGAGGCCCTTCTCTGGACGATGAAGTGTATGATAGGTGCAGATAATCAAGAGGTAGAGTTCCTTACAGACTGTTCTGATCTGGTTAAGATGGTGTCTTCTCCAACCGAATGGCCAGCGTTTTCAGTGTACTTGGAGGAATTTCAGAGCGACAAGGAAGAATTCTCATATTTCTCTTTATCTTTAATTTCTCGCAATGCTAATGTAAAAGCGGATCATCTGGCACGAAAAATTCGTACAGAACCACTTCATATCACATTTGTAAACAACATTCGACATAAATGTTCTTTTGAGTTCTAATTAATTTCGGATGACAAAAAAAAAATGATAACTCAGCAAAAGAAAAAAAAAAAACTGAAACATTTTTTGTGTTAACTTTGCAAATAATGAAATAATGTATTTGGGATCAACAACACAAATATTCACTTACAATTTGCTTTTCTTACAGCTAAACGACACCGGTTCAGTTCTGGTCGTAACGGCACAACTCTCCGAAACCGTACTTTGATTTCCTCGATGGTTCTTTTTATTTGACTAATATACCCTCACATGTCAGAAATATTTACAATCAGCTCTATGAGCCGTGTTGTTTTGACTTAAGCCCTCTGTGCGCTTCTTGTCACTAATCCACCAGACACGACCAAATGCTTTTATTTTTATTTTATCATAACTGAAAATAATGATTATTAATGACGATAGATATGATCTTCTTAATTTTTATAAACTTGTCAACAAAGTACGTAATCATAATTAACACGTTAAGATTT